AACTATCTGCTGACTGGACAATTCTAGGTGGGTAAGTATAAAGTGAAAAATCACCCAAATGCATAAACCAACAAGGATATAATACTTAGCAAGTCTAAGTTAACTATGTACTCCCTAAACCCTGAAGAACTACAATCAAAATTGAAGGCAGTATGATAGAGTGGGAAGAAGACAGAGTTTTATTCAGACAAATCTGAGTTAGAACACAGGATTGGCCACTTGTTAATCTATATAAGCTTATTCCTCCTCTGTAAAGGTAATTGGATTCCTATTAGTATTTCTGAATTGGAGAGAGGGGAATCTTTGGGTATTTTGCAAGGACCAGAAACCTGATTCCTCTCCACTGCTTCACCACAGGGCTCTCATGAACTGTCTTCTAAGAGCCAGGGCATCCTGGTCAGCACAGGGCTCTCTCTCTAAGGTCTTAGACCCTCAATGCTTTCTGCTCTGGATTTGTCCAGGCAAGTCACCTCTTGGACATGTGATGGAGATACCACATTCTACATGGGCAGGGATGGCGAGGGAACCGAGAACCAGGCTCTGGATGCTGCTGATCCTCCACCATCAATTGCCGGAACCAAAACCTAACATTGTCACTGGTAATAAAATGTAAAGAGAGCTGGCCAACCTTGATGGCTCTGAATGGTCAGAGCTATTAACTCATTGACTAGGTTGAGTCACTAGTGGTAAAATGTAAAACATTGTTCCTTGGTAGTAAAATATAAAAAGAGCTGGCCAACCTTAATGGTTCTGAATGGTCAGAGCTATTAACTAATCATCTAGTTGAGGCAACTTGAATTTGTTGATCATATGTAAATTCTTGTTGATTTTTTGTTGTTGGAATTTTCCGCCTAAGAGATGTCTTTGTCTCAGAATTTCAATAAAAGGAATGGTAAAAGGCCAGAGAAGGGGTAGTCCTCCCACTAGAGGTGGACTTCCCTTTTGGCCCCCATTTTTCCAAAATTAACTCTTTTCTAGTCCCAGTCTCTCTTCATTTTAGGGACTCTGAGGGGGCCCTGAACCATGTGGGTCATGTTAAGGGATCCCAAAATCAAGGTCTTCAGAAGCATCTTCACACCAATTCACAGCTTGACTTCCTTGGCCCTAAGTCATGAGCTGGACTTGCAGTGCATAAGCGTGTTCACACAGGTAGTGACACGCTTTCCCCCTTGAAATATAGTGGCAACCATACTTTGGTAAAAACTGCTGTTTGAATTTTAACCCTGCTAAGTCTGTTTCCTGCCTGATTAAACACGGAATACTTACCTCAGTTTCCAGGTGGAGACCTGGAGGCTAAGGCAATTTTCCCTTGCCTGGGACCAGGACCACAGGAGATTGATTCCCACTGACTCAGTAGCTTCAGTGATAGAAACTGTAGATAAGCTTTAGAGACTAACCGCTGAGCTCTGCTTCTGTGTTATCGCTATTGCAAGATAGGGCCACATTCCAATGTCCAGCAGGATGTGACTGGAAACCAACCCTGCGGGCTGTCCCCAGTCTTTAGAATTTAGTCTTTAGGATTTAGGAACAAAAGGAAAATTCTTGTGGTTTAAACCTTTAAAAGGAATTTCCTACCCCTGAAACGGTGCAGTCATGTGGAGACCAGCTGCATGTAGTGCTCTCGCTGCTGTCCTGGCCAGTTCAATAAATCCTTGCCTGCTTTTTAAAAATTAATCATCAGCCTCCGGTGGTCTTATTTTGAACCCAGGGTTCGACCCTACAACACCCTGAGTTGAAAGACCACATGGTTTTGCAAGCTCCCTGGACTGATGCAAACATCACAAGCACTGCGCCAGGCACACACACAGCTCAAGTCACTGCAGAACAATCCAAGGCCCTAATGGGAGTCTGAGCAAAGTGGATAGGGAGCAATGAGAGAGGTCTGCTTCAGCCCCAAGTTACCAGTTCAAGCCCAGGTCAGACATCTTCTTGCTCAAAGATGATCCCAAGCAAAGTTAGCAGTTAGAAATGGGGGCTTTATCTCCTCCCCTACAAAGTTCTCCAAAAGAGAAACAGAGAAGGAGGGAAAGGCAAAGTGCTCTGCCTTCAGATGGGGCCAGTCACCATCCTCCAGGTTAGTACTAGTATGTCCAGGACTGCCTGGCCATCAGCCTAGGAGGGTCTGGTGCCTGTTGCAGGCTGGAGCAGAGAAGCCAAAGCCAGACACTCTGGAGATGAGTGTGGTTGGGGTGAGTCCTTCTAAACCTCAGAGCACCAGGGGATGGATTCAGCTGTCTGTAAAACTGCCACAGTGAGCCCCTGCACCCTCATCTCTCTCCAGCGGGAATCTAGCCCCACCAGCATTCACCAGGCTGCCATAACCTTGAAGACTGCTCTGAAGACATGAAGACCCTCCCAAATGGCATCACACAGTGAAAAAAAAAAAAAAAAAAAAAAAAAGTCAAATCCAGCCAGGGCTCAGTTGGTTGAGAGTTGACCTATGAACCAGGAAATCTTGTTTTGATTAGGGTTTTGGGCTCGATCCCCAGTGTGGGGCATATAGGAGGTGACCAATCAATGATACTCTCTCATCATTGATGGTTCTCTCTCTCTCTCTCCTCCCTTCCTCTCTGAAATCAATAAAATATATTAAAAAATAAATAATAAAAATTAAAATGTGCTTGAACAAGACTTTTACTCTTTTGATTTTGATATAATCATCTGTATTTTCTTCTGTGTCATAGTTTATTAGTACTAAAGTCAGGAGTATATTGCCCAGCTGGTGTTGCTCAGTGGTTGAGCATCAACCCATGAACCAGGAGGTCATCAATTCAATTCCTGATATGCATGAGTTTTGGGCTCCATACCTAGGAGGGGGCATTCAGAAGGCAGCCAATTGATGTTTCTCTCTTATTGATGTTTCTATCTTTTCCTCTCCCTTCCCCTCTCTCTATAAAATCAATAAAGACATTTAAAAAAAATTAGGAGTATATTGTATAGAGCAGTGGCTCTGTGATTTGTGTGCTAATTTATAGAAAAGCAGATTTAGTGGGTCTGGTGTAGAGCCCAGGTATCTGCATTTTTAATAAGGGAAATACTAATATATAAAATATATAACCAATTTTAATGTTAAATCTTGGAAAATAATCCCTCTACCCCACCATGATCCTTTTGGAAATGCAAAGTATACCTTCTGGAGAAGTTAACACTCACTGAAGCTTACTAGTCAAACAGAAATTAGGTTTCATGACTGAGTCATACTTTTTTAAAACATTTTTATTGATTTCAGAGAGGGAGGGGGAGAGATAGAAACATCAGTGATGAGAGAGGATCATTGATTGGCTGCCTCCTGCATGCCCCACACCAGGGATCGAGCCCACAACCCGGGCATGTGCACTGACCGGGAATCAAACCCTGACCTTCCAATTGATAGGCCCAGTGGATGCTCTACCACTGAGCCATGCTAGCCGGGCCCCAGTCATACTTTTAAAAAATTATTAACCACCATCTGTGTGTCAAGAATTAACATGATTAATAGAACAAAATTATAGGTTTTATAAAGGTAGATTAACAGAGGAATCATAATATCTGATGCACACACACACAGTACTTTGTAAGTGGGGTAGGAAGTTAAAGTCCAAGCTTGGGCCTTACTTTCCTCTTTAGTGTAAACAAGTTGAGCAAGTCAGCTGAATTGATCAGACAAGCCTGCCAGAAGAGAACTCATCCTAAAGCAAGTATTAAGCAATTAAAACCAAAATCATTGGAGATTATTTGGGAGGAAGGTTCCAATTCCAAGTACACATCATTGTGTCTGGCTCACAAATTTGCTTCCTAGCCAAGACCCAATGAACTCATGGTTGAGTCCAATTGAGAAAAGGGAAGCTTTTAAAAATAAAATAGGAAGGACTATTTTGCTAAGAGCTCTTTAAGACATTGACATTTAAGCAGCCCAGGGATGGTATCCACCTGGGTAAGTATTGTGAAAGAAAAAAGCCACCTGCTAACCTGACAAGCTCAGGGAAGGCCTGCGTGGCAGTCTTGCAAACCCAGAGACCTAAGATAACCACAAAAGATGGTTTGAAAATTAAATATCTAACAGGTTATAGTAGGTAGTCATGTCCCAGATATTTTCCCAGACAAAGATAAACTTTGATCTTTTTACTGAGCCCATTTGCCTTTTTGCCTCTAAAATAACATAATCTGTGAGATGTCTGGGTAACTTGTAACTTCCCTTTTTCCGGAGGCCCTGGGGAACAACCAAATGTGGTGGGCCCAGGACAGATGCCTCAAATTCCTTCTTTATCATGTTAATTGTTCCTGCACTCACCTGAGTATATATCCATCATTTTACTTTTTATCCAATCCCAGGAGTTTCCCACTACTTTGCTTTCTCCCCCCTCCTTACTCCATCACCAATGAATTTCATGTAACTCACCTATGTCCCTCCTTTGATTTCAGTGTATAAATAGAGAAATGTAACCCGCCATTCTTCGGAGCATTATCTCAATCTGTTGAGGTTTTGCTTCCCGGCAATTGTCGACAGTTTTGGCTCAAATAAACTCATTAAAAAATTCTTTACAGGTTTCAATGGTTTTTTTCGTTAACAGTATAATATTAAATCTGGAGGAGGTGCATTCACTGAATATTTGTAGGAAACACAGTTCAGCTTTGGCTCAGCAGGGACTCCAGAGCTATCAGTGAGACTTCATCCAGTGATGGGCGTCCTGGAAGGAGCAGGACCCAAGAGAAGGGCAGCTGTGCCTAACAGACAGGATAGTATCCAAGGGGAGTGGAAAGCAGGGCAGGAATAAAATGTGGCTTCACCTGGAATCTCACAGGAATGGAGTTAGCCCTCCTTCATGGCTCAAGCTTGCTAGGGGTTGGGGTCCTGAATGTTGCAAGGGGGGAAAAACACACAGCTCACATGATTTTTACCTCATTTTGTCCACAGCAGCCCTGTAAGTCAAGTATTACTCCTATTTAAGTGGGAAAAGATTAATCCTTAAACAAATACATATTTCTGCCTGAGATTCAGAAGAAATATGGGATTTTTTAATAGTTCTGACAAATATTTATTAAGTGCTACATTGTCTTTATAAGGTGATAAATGTGTATACTGCTTGACATTTCCCCCATTATATTGGGGTGTGGAATTTTTGGAACACAAGTAAAATCTGTTCGTCCTGAAAAAATGAGACGTTCCAACAAAGCAAAAATAAAAAACAAACACCTATTTTCTTACCACAAAGACAGCCATTGTTAAGCCTTTGAAGTATATATTTTTTTTACTTTGCATATTAATATATAAATATACATTTTTTACAAAAATGGGATACTACATATACTTTTTGAAAATTGCCTTTTTCACTTCACAATATATAATGTTCATCTGTCCATGCAAATGGATGAGACATGATTGATAGGGAGACTTGCAGATGGGAGGGGAAGGAAGCCCAATTTTACACCAGTTACAAGTGAAACACCTTAAATAAAGCCATGCAAAAAAAAGTTAAAATTAGGAAGATGGCGAGAGGGATTCGAGTGGCAATACTGAAATTAGGCAAACCAGCATTAAAGGCCGGGCACATTAAATGGGATAAGGACGGTTCCGTCTCGCCTTCCAGTGCATGATCATCAATTTGTTTCGTACTCTTTTCATCTCTTCCATCTCCTCTGCTACCTGTATCATCTCCTCGTTGCTCAAATTTCTGCCATGTATGTCCCCTTTAAACTGCGGGCGAGAGCGTGCCAGCCTCTCCTTAAAGCTCCCTTCTTCCAGCTTGTGTTTCCCCACTCCGCAGGGAGGCTGCTCCATGGGCGGGCGCGCCTCGAACAGTTCGGGCCCGGGAAGGCGCTCCTCTGGGGGGCGCCCCTCGGGCCCCAGCAGCTCGGGAAGGAGCTCCTCGGGAAAGAACTCCTCCTCGGAGGAGGATTGGTCTTCCGAAGATGGCTCCTCGGTAGAAAGCTCCTCTGGACAAGGCTCTTCCGGGCGATGCTCCTCCGGGCTAGGCTCTTGGGGCGAGGGCTCCACCTGAGGCTGCTCCTCGTCCGTCTCGGGCACGCCCTGTGGCTGGTCATTCGCTTGGCAGGATGTGTCCATGCTGGGAACAGCCTTCATCAGCACGGTTTTTCGGAAGAGACGAGAAAGACAGTCTAGTCAGCATATTTGGTGGCTGGACCAAAAGCCCGGCCCTGAGTTCCAAAAGCTGCCTTTTCCTGATTCGGGGACAGGTCCTCCCACCCACCCAGGCCGAGAAGCCCTGACCTCCGGACCCCGCCCAGGTCGCCCCCTCCTTCCCGAAGCCCACCGCTTTCCCAGCAGGCCTTGCCCGGGGCCGCTCCCGCAGCGGCAGGGGCGGGGCGGTACCGCCGCCAGGACTCGGTTCCCACCCGCGGCCTTCGCGCACCCCATCGCGGACCCTGCCCAACCCTTCCGGGACCCGGACCTCTCCAGGCCGTTTGCTCCCAGGCTTTCTCTCCGCTGTGACCTGCAGACCTGCAGACAGACGCCAGACAGGGTAGGGGGAAGGGAGTGGGTAGGGAGGAAGGACTGACTGACACTCGCGTCCCTTTCTGGGCACCAGCCGCCAACCCCGCGCCAGCCGGCTCTGCTTCTCCCTCAGCCAGGCACCCCCACCCCCTCCAAGTCTCCCTTCGTCTCAAGCTTTGTCCTTCGTGCCCCCCACCCCCACCCTTCGGTGCTCATCATGTCTTTTCAGGCGGGATGTGGAAGCTAAGGATTATTTAGAATCTATATCTAAGTGTCTGTGGCTCCCTCCCAGGGTTGGTCCATTCACCTCCCCACCCCCAAAACCACCATTTTCTGCACCGAAGTGGGGGCGCGGGGAAAGTGGGGGCATAGGGAAAGGCCTGGACTCTGCCATCCTGGTCCTTAGGGTTACTGGGCAGCACTGACACTCATACCGATTTCAGAGGACCGCGGGGACTCACTTCCTTCTGCTTTTCCCCTCCACCAAAGGGCAGACGGTGTCTGGACTGGCAAAAAGGACCAGGATGAGAGGGACTTGGGCAGACATAGGCTCCTGGTCACGTGAGGTCCTCGCGTCACCACCGAGCTCAGATCCCCAGCTACCACTTTGACCCAGTGCGGTGCTGCAGTAATCTGCCAGTATTTCCAGACCCTCAGTGCACCAGGCATCTTCACTCATCTCTCTTTGTTTATATTTGCCTTTTCCTGGTTACCAGGAATGCTCAGTATCCAGCCTTGGGGGTTATTGCCTCTTCCTCTCAGCAGCTTCCCCTGATACCACCTCTCTCCCTTTCTCACGTCATCAGTCACCAAGGCCCAATATTTCCCCTTCACTCCAGATCCTGCACTGAAATTTGACTATTTCTCCTTAATGAATCAATATCATATGCCACCTCTCCCAGTTTAAATCCATATCCATAACTCTATCGTGTCCATGTAGGCTCTGTCAACATGGTTTGCATCTCATCACTTTAACGGGAGATAGCCTTTCATTTTTCCATTACTTAAGAATTTTATTTTTTTGTGAGCCATCACACCTATATCACAAATAGAAGCTCTAGAGTCTAGTCTAATTTGGTAATCATTCAGTTCTAGAACTGTAGAAAGAATTAAGTTTGTAAAGTATGTCATTCTAAAAACACTGAATACTTTTTAATATTTTATTGATTTTTTTACAGAGAGGAAGGGAGAAGGATAGAGAGTTAGAAACATTGATGAGAGAGAAACATCAATAAGCAGCCTCTTGCACACCTCCTACTGGGGATGTGCCTGCAACCAAGGTACATACCCTTGACTGGAATCGAACCTGGGACCTTTCAGTCCTCAGGCTGACTCTCCATACACTGAGCCAAACTGGTTAGGGCAAGACTGAATACTTTGAATTTCATAAATCAAAATATATATTTGTCTAAGTACAAATAGTCTGGAAACTTAGCTGAAATGGGAGCATTTTTGGTGCAGAGTGTGACATTTTATATATATGTGTGTGTGTGTGTGTGTGTGTATGTATGTGTGTGTGTGTGTGTGTGTGTGTGTATGTGTGTATATATCGATATATATATATATATATATATATATATATATATATATATATATTATTTTTTTTAGAGGCCTGATGCATGCAAGAGTAGGCCTTCCTTCCCCCAGCTGCCGGCACCTGCTTCCCTCCAGCACCCGGGACCCAGACTTCCCTCGCAGCCCCAGCTTCGTCCAAAAGGTCTTCCAGAAGGACATCCAGTCTAATTAGCATATTATGTTTTTATTATTTTACATATATATATTTATTTATTATTTTACATATATATATATATATATATATATATATATATATATAGAGAGAGAGAGAGAGAGAGAGAGAGAGAGAGAGAGAGAGAGAGGGGTAGGGGGAGAGGGAGAGAGTAATGTAAATAATATAAGTATTTTATACAGTATATAGTATTCATAATATATATACTATTCAGTCATTATTTTTCATAATAGAGGCAAGAGATTTTGCTGGGACTCAGATCTCTTGGTGTTGCTGGTTGAGGAAGTTTTTATTAATTCACTAAATCAGCAAGTATTTGGGGCATGGGACTGCTAGACCCCAAAAAATAGTTTCAGCACAGAGGACATTCAGTAATTCTGTTGACCACACACTGACTAGTGGGATTAAAATCATGCTAACATAATTGTCATTACAACTCTGTATTTTGGGATCAAATTGGGTTTTATGATCTTCACCCTCATGCCTGTATCTTACCTACTCCCATCAGCCTGGGTGCTACTTTCTCATGCGGATGCCCTTTCTTTCAGAGAGCAGACCATACCTCTCTTCTCTGAATTTCATACTTTCAGGGTAGGTGGTGGTTACATCTGTGAAGATCTTGGGATTGCTTCTCTCAAATCCAGTGTGACCATCTAGTACGTTTCCAAACAAATTCATACGTGAAATTATCCATTTTGTAACTTTTTGTCCAACATTTAATTTATTCTTGGTTGAGATAGCAAAAAGACAGATATTAGTTCACCTTTATATATTTTCCATAATTGTTACTTTTTAAACCCAAGTGGCACTGCACTATATTTCTTTCTCTTTTTTTCCACGAAGGCTTGGTTTCATTATTTGTATGGTTTCTTTCTAAGAGGAGCCCCATTTCATTCATTTTTTCATTTCTATCCTTTTTTCCTTACAACCTGTGATGGGAAGTTCAGGCAATTCTAATAATTCAGAATGGGTTTTTGATGTTGTTGTGCTGAATCTTCTTCCCAATAGTTTACACACATCTTGGTTCTACCCTCTGGAGGGTACAAGTATAAGATATAAAAGTGCCTTTTACCCTTGCTAGCCTGACACACCAGGGTCAATGTACTGGTTCTTTCCCCTTCCCATCTGTGAAGCAATCTACTTGAACTTTCTGTGACTCAACTTCCTCATCTTCAAACTTGGAGACATAATAGTTCCTACCTTATAGGATTGGTAAGAAGAACGATTCAGAATATGTAAAGGGCCCCGAAGAGTACCTAGCATATAGAAAGCACTCTATAAGCATTAACTATGATAATAGTAATAATAATAGTATGACATTATAGGAATCTCTTTCACGGCCCACATAGAAAGAGTTCCAATTCAGGGTTCAGGTTCTGGAGAAGGGCCACACACAAATGAAGAGACTTGAGACTTGAAGAAATTCAACTTGGCGATATGGGGGGGCCAGGCGGTAGTCCAACTCTAGTGCGAGAACTACTCCCGCTCTGGCCCTGCCATCCCCTTTTATTGAGGCTTTGGGGAAAACATCTTAGGCAACATAAACAGAAATTTACATGTAGCTCTTAGGCAGGAAATAACAGAAACTTTCGAGGGACAAACAAGATGGAGGCTGCTTTAGCTAACAATATCTCAACTAAAGGTTAGAACAATTAAGGTTGTTGACCAGCCTTCCTGGCTTCCTGTCAACATCTCTTTTTTAGTGAAACTGATTTGTTTTCCAGCATGACAGTGCTAATAGCACTAATTATCATCCTTATATTATTAACATTAATTGGTCACGTATATTGGGCATTCTAACTATGCACTTTCAACGTGTTATCTCATTTAGTCCTTAAACAGTTATGTTCTTATAAAAACAAAAAAAAAAACAAAAAAAACCTCCTCTCTTATTTCATCTCTTTCTGATGTGATATATCTTTTCAAAGTCACTGACCATCCTATATATTCCTGAATTTGTAAATTTCTCTGAAAATACTAGATATTCTGACTAGTGTAGAATGGAATGATCTTATCACATCCTTCATTCTAGAATAGACACTATACGTCTATACATACATCCTAAGATCATAGCTGATATTGTGGATGCCATATCACAGTTGAATCCAGTTGCGAGTATTTAAAAAATATATATATTTTATTGATTTTTTTTACAGAGAGGAAGGGAGAAGGATAGAGAGTTAGAAACTTTGATGAGAGAGCAACATCAATCAGCTGCCTCCTGCACCCCCTATTGGAGATGTGTCTGCAACCAAGGTACATGCTTTTAACTGGAATCGAACCTGGGACCTTTCAGTCCACAGGCCGATGCTCTATCCACTGAGCCAAACCGGTTAGGGCTTGTGTGTATTTTTTTAAAGAACCAATTTCATCACCCAGCTGGTGTGGCTCAGTGGTTGAGTTGATGACCCATGAACCAGGAGGTCATCGTTCAATTCCCTGTCAGAGTAAATGCCCAAGTTTCAGGCTTTGATCCCCAGTAAGGGGTGTGCAGTAAGCAGTTGATCATTCTCTCTAATCATCGATGTTTCTATCTCTCTCTTCCACTCTCTGAAATCAATAAAAATATATTTTAAAAAATGCATTGCATAATTGATTTAGAGACTTTTTTGTTTTACTGATTTGAAAAAAAGAGAGAGAAACATCGATTTGCCACCCACTGATGTATTCTTGTTTGTGCCTTGACCGAGGATTGAACCAGCAACCTTGGTGTAGCTGAACAATGCTCTAACCAACTGAACTACCTTGACAGGGTTACAGTTGAATCCAGTTTAAGTTGCAGTCAACTGAGACCCTCCCCCCAGATCTGTTTCATACATCCCTGTTAACGTATTACTATAAGTCCATTTTAACCCATGTACAGAAGCTTCTATTTTTCTAGGTTAAATGTTGTCTTACGAGATTCTCCCCCTCATTCTTTGAATCCAGGTTCTGTTATTCAGTACATTAGCTACAAAGTATTAATTTGAAGCACACCAATATCAGGAAAGTTCTAGGGAGATCTCAGCAAAGAGCTCTGACTCCAAATAGAAAATTCCTTTTCCCTGTTGAGTTTGGCAGCCAGGAGTGTGTGCCCTGCTGGGCCAGTTCTCCTCATTTCCTCTCTCAGTGTGACTGCTCAGGATAGGATTACTTTCTAGTGCTGCAGACAGAAGACACAGTTGCCCCTGGAAGCTCCCAAACCAGTATAAATTAATCCTTGATGAGAACTTGGTAAACACAGGGAGTGGGCAGACAAGGGAGGTAGGAGGAATTGGAACCAGGAAAGGAGGAAAGAAGACAGTGTCTTGGTATTGGCTCTAAGTCTCTGCCTGACTGGAGCTGATTTGGGGTTCCCTTGAGAGGAAGGGCTCTCAACAAGGAGGGGGTGAAGTTGGTCCTACAATGGTGACAACCATTTGTTACAAAGGAATGTGATCAGCCCCTTGTCTATGTGTGATCAGGATGGAGGCTGTGAAATAATCCTGATTTGATTGATGCTGCTGATGTAAGGTCCTGGGACGATATGTTGCTGGGCTCACTATTGCTAGTGAGAGTTGAAGTCTAAGAAGCTCCATTTTACAGGTGAGAAAACTGAGGCTCTGGGATGTTACAGATTGTTCCCACAGAAACACAGACGATAGTAAGTAGTTAAGGTGGGATTTAAACCACAGCAGTATGATATGAGAAATTGAACCTCTAACCACTTTGTAAAATTGTTCCTGGGCAGTGGGCTCCAGACACCTTTATGTGCAGCTGGAGTGGGCAGCACAGGCCTTTTCGTGTAACTGGAGCTGAAGGCTGGCAAGGCAGCCAAGGAGCAGGGGAAAGACAGTCAGCCCTGGCAGCTGCTGCCATGACAACAGTCTCCAGGGCATGGCCGTTTTATAAGGGATCTGAGGAAGCCCACAGGTTTCTGGTTCAGGGATTCCTGTATCCTGGTCAGGCTGCACTTCTGCAGCATGATCAGAGCCCTCCTCCCTCTGAGCCCCTCCACAGCACAGACTCCTTGGAGGTCTGGTTTCACTGTTCAAGGCCAGTCAACCTGGAGTTGAGTTCTGCCCTCCAGCCCTGAAGTTCCCCCTGCTGCCACTGCTGCTGCCTCTGCATTCTTTCCTAATGACACCCATGGCAGTTCTTTGGTCTCAAGACTTGCTGCTGTGGGCTACAGCAGGCTTTGTCCAGGCTGTGGCTCTCAGTCTCTCCTCTCCCACCTCCACCCCAGGGGAAATAGTCAAGTGGGAGCAATGACTAGAGCCTTCTCTTTCCTACTTCTGGCCTTATCCTATCAGGGCCTACACACACACCCTGTACGT